GGGTGCGATTGTGCGGGGCGGGGTGTGAACGGCGGGGCAAAGGCGTGATGCTTCTGACCGCTTTTGCCTTCCAATGCAGCCCGAGTGTGCCGGGGGTTTCACCTGTGCGCTCCCCTCTCTCCCCTTGCAGCCTCCATCCTGTGCCCCGCAGCCAGCTTTGGTCCCCACGCCAAGAGGAGGGCGGCCAGTGGAAATTGCTGTGCTGGCACTGCAAGCAATCGCATCGCAGCCTCCTTGTTATTTATTTATTTTGATGGTAACTCCGCGGCCGCCGCAGCAGCAGCAGCAGCAGCGATGGTCGAGTCAGCGAGAAAAGCAGCTGGAGCCCGTTAAAGGCAACAGGAGCCGGCTGGGTAGGGGAGCCCAACCTGGGCTGTGTGTGAGATTGACACTCCACCCTTGGGACACTCACAAGAGAACCCCCATACTTCCCTTCCCCTCCTCCTGCCCCTCTGAAGTTCTCCACTCCATAGCCCTCCCTTACCTGGTTTGCTTCATCCCAGACTCCTTTGCCCTCATCTATTTCTCCTTCACCTTTCTGGGGGTTTCCATCTCTGACCCTCATCCTCTACCCCCTCCCCCAAAGCTCTCCATCCTAGACCCACGGTTACTCCCTCTAAGGCTTTGCATTCCAGTTCCTCCCCATCCTTCTCCCCTGAGTCTTTTGGCTCTCCACTACAGACTCCTCTCCCCCACCTAAGGTGTCACTTTATATCCCTGGGACTCCCCCAGCCCCTGCCACTTGTGCCACCATGACAGTGATGGCTGGAGAGAACATGGATGAGACTTCTGTCCTGCCAGGCCACCCCCAAGATAGCTACCAGCCAGGAGCCCATGATGACCATGAGTGCTGTGAGCGGGTGGTGATCAACATCGCCGGGCTGCGCTTTGAAACCCAGCTGAAGACCCTTGCCCAGTTCCCCAACACGCTGCTGGGCAACCCCAAAAAGCGCATGCGGTACTTTGACCCGCTGCGCAATGAGTACTTCTTTGACCGGAACCGGCCCAGCTTCGATGCCATCCTCTATTACTACCAGTCTGGAGGCCGGCTCCGCAGGCCGGTCAACGTGCCGCTGGACATGTTCTCTGAGGAGATCAAGTTCTATGAACTAGGTGAGGAGGCCATGGAGAAATTCCGGGAGGATGAAGGGTTCATCAAAGAGGAGGAGAGGCCCTTGCCTGAGAAGGAGTACCAGCGCCAAATATGGCTCCTCTTTGAGTTCCCAGAGAGCTCTGGGCCAGCCAGGGTCATTGCAATAGTCTCAGTCATGGTGATCCTCATTTCTATAGTCATCTTCTGCCTAGAAACTTTGCCAGATCTGAAGGAAGACAAGGAATCTACAGGGATTCTTCACCGCATTGACAATTCTACTGTGATCTACAAGTCCAACATTTTCACTGACCCCTTCTTCATTGTGGAGACCCTTTGTATCATCTGGTTCTCCTTTGAGCTGGTGGTGCGCTTCTTCGCCTGCCCCAGCAAGCCCGAGTTCTTCAAGAATATCATGAACTTCATTGACATAGTGGCCATCATCCCCTACTTCATCACCCTAGGAACTGAGATGGCTGAGCAGGAAGGTACCCAAAAGGGGGAGCAGGCCACCTCTCTGGCTATCCTGAGAGTCATCAGACTGGTAAGAGTCTTTAGAATCTTCAAACTCTCCAGACATTCTAAGGGCCTCCAGATTTTGGGTCAAACCCTCAAAGCAAGCATGAGAGAGTTAGGTTTACTAATCTTCTTCCTCTTCATTGGGGTGATCTTGTTCTCCAGCGCGGTGTATTTTGCTGAAGCTGAAGAACCTGACTCTCATTTCTCAAGTATCCCCGATGCTTTCTGGTGGGCTGTGGTAAGCATGACCACTGTGGGCTATGGTGACATGTACCCTGTGACAATTGGAGGCAAAATTGTAGGCTCATTGTGTGCCATCGCTGGTGTGCTGACAATTGCCCTGCCTGTACCTGTCATCGTGTCCAACTTCAACTACTTCTACCACCGAGAAACAGAAGGGGAAGAACAGGCTCAGTTACTCCATGTTAGCTCCCCCAATTTAGCATCTGACAGTGATCTGAGTCGCCGTAGCTCCTCCACAATCAGCAAATCTGAGTACATGGAAATCGAAGAGGATATGAATAATAGCATAGACAATTTTAGAGAGGCTAATCTCAGAACTGGCAACTGCACCATAGGCAACCAAAACTGTGTTAATAAAAACAAGCTGCTGACTGATGTGTAAAAAAACAAAACAAAACAAAAAACATTCTCAGCTGGAAGACTTTACGTGACTCAGTCACACTTTGTAGATGCTTTACTAATAGTCTTTGAATGCTTTATTTACCTCGTAAATGCATTGTTGCATTGCGAATTTTTGCTCAGTGATCAAGAAGCTTTCAGGAACCATGAAAAATAATGTTTTTGGTTATTTTTAAAGGGTATTTTCCAACTGGTAAATGATAACCATTTGAATTAGTCTAGTGATAAAAACTAGTCATATGCTTCTAAATCTAAACTTTTTTTCATCCTTGTTGCTTGTTTAACTTAATTTTAAACAAAACACAATAGACAATTTTAGAGAGACAAAATATGCATGGATTCACGTAAAACATTCTGCAAAACTGCACAATGCATCCAAGAAAGTGCATCAGATGAAAACTTCAGCAAAAATATGCAGCAAGCATTTGCTGCTGTTTTGATCAACTGAAGTGTGAATTTCCCCTCTTTTGTGAAAAGAGTATGTAGTTCCTATCTACAAATTCATGCAGCACCTTATTAAAAATACACTTAAGCCTGGTCTTGTTGCTGTACCCTTATCATAGAAGAGCTATTCTATAAGAGAAAAAAAAAGATAAAACATCTGCAGTGCTGCTAAGTTTTCTTAAGTGCAGATGGTTTAAACATTATTTTCCCCTCTCCAGGACTGGAAGCAAAACTTTTAGTCCCTTTGTTGCAAAATAGCACAATGGAGTTTAATATAAGCATGTCTGAATTTGATACTATTTACTTTATAATCGCATGCCTGAAACATTACCTCAGATGATAGGGGATAAGCTTTTGTTTGTAATGAATCTTCTAAAAATAGGTTCTTTATCTTTTCTTTTTGATTTTGCATTCACCAAAAGTGCACTCCTTAATTTATTAAATATTTGATTAGTAATTTAAAGTACTGTATTTAAGCGTGTATGTTAGTCAAATGGGAACAATAACTTTTGGAGATCAAAGCATGTTCAAATATTCAGCATTATGGCCTAAATGACTAAGGTGTAACTTGAATTAATTAATGCATGAATTCAGTAATTATAATAATAATAATAATAATAATTAATAAAGCACTTGTTGAATTGAGGGCCAGAAGGAATTGAATAGAGAGACCTGATGAGTTTCCTGCATGGCTCAGGGAAATGTGTTGGCTTCTGTCCAGGCACTGTTAGAAAGGAACATATCCCATCCCTTAAAGGGAAAGCTATATGGACAATTAAGAACTTGTATCCTTTGTAGGTGAAATGCCTTTGGGTGCAGTCTCAGAATGTAAATGAAACTTATCTATGGTGGTATGCATCCAAACAGCAGTAGCCAATTTCTTTTGCAGCCATAATTTGAGGTCTCTAGATTTTTGTGCTCCCCTATAACTCACTGAAGAGACACAACCGATTGATTTAGATAGTTGCTTAGTGCCTTTATCCCTGTCTACTGAATTGCTGAAAGTGCCTCCGTGAATAGAGCTGATCAGAAGTAGTGAAGGAAGGGGCAAGTCACCAACACACAACCTGGACTGTACTGTGCTGTCTCCAGGCATAGCAGAAAAAGAGAGAGAGAGAAGAGGAGGACAGAGACCACCAGCGCCCAAGGACACCTTCCTTCCCCTGGCAATGTGCTGCTGCAGGGCTCAGCATTTGCCTCTGCCAAATAAGTCACAATCATGTTTATGCAAGACTCAAAGTTTCCCCAGATTGTTTATAGAGGCAATGCTGCCCTCATCGTTTTTGACTTTCCTTCCCCCGAGATGGCTCTTTGGCAGCCTGCCCCAAAAGGGCAGAACACAAGAGGAATGACTTACTTACTGCAGCATCAACCAGGCAGGCAACCAGATTGGAGGGCTGCAACTTTTTTTCCCTTTGGACTCCTCAGGAGGTAGGTGAGAGAAGCATCCCATTTCTGAGCCAAGCACACTTCCCTGCCTTCTTCCTGGCCCCCTTCACTAAACTCCCTCAGCTACCCCATAGATTTTTAAATGCCAGTGCAGATCTTTCAAACCTCCCTCCCCACTGTGGCCTGGTGGAGGGTAACAATGCTGAGAGAAGGAATCTTCTTGGGTATTGTCTAGACTACATGGCTTTGCTGACAGAGCCATGTAAACTAGCTTACCTGATCTAGCTTACCTGTAAACCTCGTTTCACGAGGCATAAGGGAGCGGTCGACAAAGGCGTTCCCTGTTGACAGATCCGTGTCTTGACTGCCGCGCTGTGCCCAATCAGCTGATTGTCAGCACAGCGTGGTGGCCATTTTTATTTTAATGACGCGGGGATTATTTAAATCCCCGCTTCATTGACTATATCGGGTAAGTTAGTTTACATGGCTCTGTCGGCAGAGCCATGTAGTCTAGACATACCCCTTCAGTATGCAAGCCTTGACCAGTAGCCACTAAAAGATAACAGCTTTCAACCTGAGCCAACATAGGCACTAACCTTTATTTTTTTCTTTAAAGGACAAAGTTGAGGATCTTCATTCTGCACTTAGTATGTGGCCAGCTGCTGTTGGGTCATTTCCTATACACAGGCCCCCTTTTGTCCCCACCCTGGTCACCCACATAGCATGGCACTTATGGTCTAAAACCACACTAACTCTGCAGTTGTGCACAAGTCTAACGTGCCAGGTTGACAGAAAGGCTTGCCTTCTCACTGTGTGGTGTCCATTTAATATTAATGATGGGGAAGTGATCAGAGGCATCTCAAAGAACTGCAACGTGTCTGATGAAACAGGGCATTACACTAGCCAGATAGATGAGATAATGCTTCCTGCCCCCCCAAACACACCCTTCCCGCTGGAATTAAACTCTGGCAGTCACAATCTTTCACAGTTGAGGATACAACTTCTCATGCTTAGACTGACTTGCATGCTGCACTCGGTTCGAAACAGCAATACTCAGTTCAGTGCTGTGGGCCAGCTGATCAGAAAGTAGCACCCTAGAGACAAGGCCTCACGTTAGCAAGAGGCTTCTACAGTAGTTGGGTAGCTGCACCTTCCTTTAACTACCAGAGGAATGATTATTCTGCATGTGTCAAGAGAAAAGAGCTGCATGCAGCCGGGAGGGGGGGGGGGGGGGGGGGGAATCTGATTTTTTTTCTTTTATCAGGGAATAGGGTGACTCATAAGGGTGTGTGGTGTCTTGGGGAGTCTGTTGCTTACCCATTTCTAACTCATTACAAAGGAACTAAACGTACAGAGTACAGGGATTAACCTCATGTAGCATTGGCATGCATTTCTGGCAAGTTTGACAAAAAAGCTCTCCCCTTTGCACTCAATGTGCCGAAATGTCTTTGTAGGCCTGACGGTGCACTTAACAGTTGCCTGTTCTTACCAATAAATGTCCTTTTCTTTTTTACATTTTCTTTTCTACTGTATTTTTTTGGGTGGCTAGCTTGAGCTCTAAAAGGAATGTTTCCTTCGGTGGGACGGGACTGGAAATGGGCTGATGGCCAATTTGTAGTCTCTCCAAAGGTGAGAGAGAAGCCCAAGTTCAATAGTTTGGTTTAGGGAGAGTTTTCTGTGCAAGAGTTGTCAGAAATTAGCATGTTCTTAACTGGAAAACTGTGTAAGGTGCTAAGTCGCAACAGCTGATCTGTTCAAGAGAGAATGAAAAAAGGTATTGTGGTCACCTTCTTTACTGGAACTGGTGGAAAGAAGAATGCTACAATAAAGGGCCAAATTCATTGGTGGCGTAACTCCACTGAAGTCAACACACTTGATTCTCTTTGTACTTCAGCTAGCTTGACTGTGCAACTCCATTGACTTACCCGACATATCCTGGGTCAGTGAGGTGTAAATGAACAAATTAAACACATTGACTTCAGTAGAGCTACACTAGGTGATGGGAGTAACCTTACACTTGTAAGTGGAGTCTAGCATGTTTATGTAGGGTATGCTTGCATTTGAGATGAGAGGTGTCGTTCCCACACTAGCTGGGCTCCAACTAACAGCTTAAAAATAGCATTGTAGCCAAGGTAACTCAACCAACAACTTGGGCTAGCTGTTTACAGAATAGGGGCCTTGGTGTCCTATCCAGTAGTCTTTGTTCAGAAAACAGGACTGTTGATTTCAATAATTTTGCCCAAATAGAGACTTCAAAGATCAGGCTTTTCTCAGAAGATCAGCTACATATAATTCATTAAGCATTGCATTGGGTAGACAAATGAACCAAGGAAAAGTTTCATTCTCCTAAATTTTTGGCTAAAAGGTAATTGTTTTAGTTAAACAAATGGATAGAGGGATTCCCTTCCCAACCCAGTACAATATAGCTGAAGCACAAACTATATAAAATGCATAACTAGCATTTTACAGAAGGAATCGAGGGCTGCTTTTCCCAAGGAATGCCTGCCTTTGGACAATGCAGACTCTCTTCATTGTTGGATATCTTTGCATTATATTAAAATCAAAATAAACAGAACTTGGAATGAGAGAAGAAAAACTCGTCAATTTATTAAGAAAAGCTTGAAAAGATTATTTAAAACCATGCATACCGTATTTTTTTCTTCTTTCTTCCTTCAACTTTATTTTGATTAACTGCACTTAGAAGGGTGACATTGAAGATTAATTTCACCTATATACCAGAAAAAGAACAGGTCATAGTTTCAAAGTGCTTTCCCTTTCTGGACCAAACCCTATATCCCATTCATGCGCAATACTTCAGTCAACTTTGATGGGAATTTTTGCACAAGGAATGCAGTATAAGGTCCAAAGTGCAATTTACTTTTCTTTTTTAAGGGATTTCTTAGTCACAGAGCCAGGTGGAAATAGCAGGTTGTCTTCAGCAATCTCTCAACATTGTTGTAAAAAAGCATTGGCACTATCAAACAAATATACTTCTTAAACTGCTTTAACCAGGGAATTATTTTTTTATTTTTGCTGGAGTTTTTTTCAGGCCAGGTATAGCACATATTTTTCTGTGTCCTAAAATACTAGTTTAGATTTATCAAATGTGTCAATGTCTATATTTGCATCAGGAAACTTCAGGGTATTTTTTTTAGTGTGGGTGAATTGTGCACCACTTAAGGCCAGCAATTTTTATTATCAGTGAATATTGCACCTTCATATTTTTAAAGGGACGAATGAAGTTGGGGTCTTCACTGAAATTTGTCTGAAAATATCCTATTTGTATTCATGTAGCTCTGTTAATTTTACCTGTTCTTAGAATCTAGCGAGTATTACTCAAGGCTACAAAAAATTCCTTTCCCTTTCTAGTTTCTACAGTAGCTAAAGTGAGTATATGTGGTGTTAAATTCCTTTAGGTACATTAGTCTTTGATTAATGTTATTTCAGTAACATTTCTATAATGTAATTGGGATCAAATGTATATTTTACTTTTGTACAGAAGTAAAAAAATATTTTTATGACTAAATTCAGCAAAAAAAAAAAAAACCCTTATAATATAACCTGCTAAAAAGATATATGTATTTCCTTTCCATGATATCTAAACTACTTTTTTTTCCAGGACATTGGTTTGAAATTGTAAATAACAGCTGTAGGCAAGACTGTATATGGACTCTGTGACATACCTCTGATTTTAAAGATGAAGTATTACCAATGTTAAATAAAGAAACTGAATAGGATTCATATAAAGTGCACCATCAGGGCAACAAACCATTTAAGCTAACATAGCTCAATTTATTTCCGCAATTTGCAAATTGCTTACACTTTGAATCAAATATGTACCTCATTGTTACATTACTGTTCATTTTACTTACAACAGTTAAATGGTTTGATTTTTGTCAGTTTTAAGACATCTAATGTTATGAGTTTCTAACTTTATTTACATGCATAGCTTTCATCTATGCAATTTGACTTGCTTCTGTTACTTGCTCATCTGTTCACACTGGGCATCAATTAAAGATGATTTTTAAGGCTCTTACCCAGGAATATCCTGACTTGTTATTGTCTGGAGTCGAGTTTCTCTCCTCTCCCTGTTTTGCAGTGTGCTCTAAAGCCAGTGATTGGTTAATTGATGTTTTTGCTGAAACAACTAAGAAATTGTGAAATACATTGTGGTAAACAAGGTTCGCTGAGAACCAGGTTGTAGTGGACATTGAAAGCCTTTTGAATTTAGCCCCAACTTTGAAAGGTGATTACGTCCAAAGGCCTGATCCTCAGCTCATTGACTTCAATGGGCTGTGGATCTGGCCCCAAACAAGTAAAATCAACTGCAATTCTAGAGCTAAATTTTGCTGCCACTCATGATGATGGGAGTTCTGATATTCACTTTAATGAAAATATGTTTGGTGATAACTGTATCTTTGTTGGTAACAATTTGCATATATTGGATCAATTCTTGCAGCTAATCTTGTTTAGCATTTATATAGCAAAGTCAACTTCAACTAAAAGTTTTAACCATGATCTTTTAGGTCATGACTGTCTTGGTTTTTGTAAATAAAAACAAGTTGGGCTACAGATTTGTTTTGTACTGAAAATGACTTTTTTTCTTAGGAATATTTCAAACAAGCCCTTCCAAAACAGAAATGGCGGGCATTCTTTGGAGTGGAGGTGTGATGACATTGTGGGCATTTAATTTTGATAGGTCAGCAATCTGAAAGGTTGTTTCATTGCTTCTTTGTGAATGTGACATTTTATCCTAGTTATTATGTTATATATAAATAAGGAAATGAGATCAGCTACTGAGGGTCTGGTGTCTCTTTCATGCTAAAGGTATTGTGTATCCAAAGTTGAACTTTAAAGACAGACAATATCAGTAGATGTTTGTATCCCTTGTGATAGTGAGATATCCAAATGATTGAATACTGATTGTATTTACATTTGCCTGACAATACAGAGGGAATTATAATAATAGCCATATATATGCTAGAATGGACTTTGCTTGAGTAGCAAACCAGATGTGATGTTTATGTTAATTCTTGGGGAAAGCTTGCATTGATAATATCGTTGCTGAGTTATAATATTGACTGACTTTTGTGAAATCTTAGGTGTAAGTTGACAAAAAGTTAGTCTGGTTGAACTAAAGGTAAAGTTTTCAGTTTTCATTTTTAAACAACCCTGTTCTGCAAACCATTCAGTCACCAACTCCCATTTAGTTTGGTACTTCAGCAAAGTATTTAAGCAAATGCCAAACCTTAAGTGCGTGAGCAGTACCATTGATTTTTATTGACTTCTGGTTATGACTAAATCTTGCTGCTTCTTCCTGCATAACATCCGTAAGATCCAAGCTTTCCTATCCATCCTCCACACAACTAAATTCTTGTCTGGGCCTGCATCATCTTATGGCTTGATTTCTGCAACCTCAACCTCTCTGGCCTAGATAAATTCCATATTTTTATGCTTATATCCATTCAAATGTGGCAGCAAAGACAATTTTCCTGGATCCTTGATTTGAGTACATGACCCCTCCCTTTGTGTCCCTTCACTGATTTCTCCTTCTCTACCACATCAAACAGTATTTATTTGTCTTTACTTTGTATGCCCTTCCTGGCCTGTGTCCTGCTACCTATCCTCTCTCATTTGGTATCCCAGTAGCAACCCCTTCCTGCATTCTGCCAGGAATGCTAGATTTCAGTGTCCATTTGTAGAATTTTCCAACAAACACCTTCATACTTTCTTCCCGCTACTCCTTCTACGTGAGAAGAACTTGGTATAAAAGCATTCTGCAAGGTAGCCTACAAAAAGTTGACCAAGACCAGACAGCTGATTTGCATGGCTGAGCATGTTGACCACTATAATCTCATTTTTACCTTGTGTTTTGTTCACTCCTTCCCCCCACCACAACTGTTGGTGTATTCACTCATCTGATATTTATACTATATGTTTTTAATGGAAAGACTTTATTTACGTGTGTCATGTTTATACAGTGTCTTGCATAATGGGCCTGGGACCAGTAAGTGCTACTGTAATATAAATATTGTTGTCCTGTTTTATTAATAAGCGCCTTGCTGAACTGGAGCTTCTAATGGGAATTACAAGCATGGAGGCAGGGTCAGGCCCAGTGATTGTACTTTCAGAAATGGCTCTGTGAAAAATGTCATTGTGGGGTTCCTGGTCTATGTGTGTCAGCTCTTCTGCATTGTATTTGCTTGTTATATCAGTACAGCTGGTTTCACTTTCTGCCAGTCCTGAAAACTTGCCTTCCACGCATCATCACCACTAATAAACCTGTAGCCCAAATTCCGCCTTCAGTTATACTTGTGCCATCTCATTCCTTTCCCCTGCTGGCACTGAATTATCAGTAGGACCTAGGGAAACATTTGGCTCTGCAATTTAAATGTAATGGACAAATTGTATTCATGATGTATAAGGCGGAATAAGATCCTCTTCCTTCTTTCAGACCCATGCTGACTCGTCAGCTCTAAGAGTAAGGAATAGTAATCAAATCTTATTTTTGTCCCTAGAGTCAGCAGATTTTGACCACAGAGAGGGATAGGTTCATTAGGTAACAAGGTGCCATTTCTATATAACTTTTCTAAAATGTCCACAGTTTGAACATAAAATTAATTTACCCTGAAGTTACACTGTGTAAGTTATTCAACTCACCAGAGTTATTTGATCCATGGGTGTAATAATGACCCCTTTATGAATGTATATATTCTAGTAATAATACAATTATTTTAGCTATCAATTATATAAATAGTTATATATAATAAATATATCCATTGCTACAGAAGCTAGGATAAAAATTTTATTAAACATTAATCATCATACTTCAGGGCATAAAGCAACCATTAGCTGTTTGAGGTCTATACAGGTGCGTTTCGACAGCACCCTTCTGTTGAAATAAGCTATGTAAATTGCGCTATGCAAATTTCATAGCTTATTCTGAGTCTAAGTCGAAA